GGCAGCGGTTAGTGTGTTGCATACGGTACGATGATCTATCAGCCGTACCGTGGACGATTTTAACAATGACAAAATCGTCCTATTAGACAGGGCAGCCTGGCCTTAAACACGCCGAACAATTTTGCAAATTTGTTCTTTTGCGTCTAAATAGTATAATAAGGGCAAAACGGGTTTTCGGAGGGGTATGCCGGAGTTGAATGGGCGGAGCAGGTGATTGCGGTTTTTTGCGTTTGAAACTCTGAGGTGGTTGTGTATAGCGCAGTGGGTTTCGGAAGTCCAGCTGGCGAGAGGTGACGTGTGGGAGAGGACGACGAGGAGGGCTGTGTATGGGCTCATCTCCTTTTTGCTAGAGCTATTGCTGCCCTCGAGCAGCCATCTTCTTGGATGTCGACCTGCATGTATGTCGACCAGCGCAGTGCGGGCCAACAAGCAACAGTACGACAACAGCAGGTCCAGCCCTAAGTCGCCCTATGATATTTAACCGAACGGCGTGGAGTGAGTAAAAGGAAGGAAACTGATTCGAAGCCGAGGGCGGAGCGGTGTCGCTACGTGCTTATCTATCCAGTGTTTCGTATATTGCCGTACAAACCCTAAGTGCCGTATATTGGTAATCCTTACAGTGTTTGGAGGTGAGAGGTGTGGATCAATCCAGGATTTCGTACTGCCGGTGATGTGCGTATGAAGGTGCAATTTTGTTCACACACGTAAGGATACTATTTTGCCTTGGGCTAGTATTGGCATCTAATTTTGGACATATGCCAGGCTATGTATTTGTTTGTATGAGTCCGGGGCCATCTTCTTGGGAATCTCCAGGAAAATATCTTGGCTGGCTGGTTACCTTAACACCGTGTCTGTGGCGCGTTCGGGTGCTGTCGTTGTTCTTTTTGTCAGCAGGCTCAGGGCCTTATCCGTTCTGTTATGATTTCGGCGGTGGTGGTGGTGGTGGCGGTGGTAGCACTGAAGCCCCCGGGCGGTGTTCCCGGGGGAAGTTGCTGAAAGGGACGTTTGTGCGTGGAGTTGACTTTGGCTGGGTGTGCAATTACGGCGCTGCGCTGCTGCAGCTGCTGCTGGTGGTTTGTTGTTCGTTGGGACGCGACGCTATCTGCATTTGTCTAACGTGGGGAGTGCGGCGCTGCGACGGTGATTCTGGAGCCGAGCGGTCTCCGAGCGATGGCCGCGGTCAGCTGCCACGATCTTCCTTTGAACCGGGGCGGCGCCGGGGTCTGTGCTGGGTGGCTCGCAAATCCGGCGGCCGGACGACACATTGCCGGCAGCCGTGGCAGCGGTTGTAGAGATGGTTGTGGATTTGAATTAGGGAAACATGGTGCGTGTTGCTGTGCGTGTGGCGATGAGGTTGCGAAGAAATGCGAATTTTGCACTGGTGTATATAAATTGTAAATGTATGCGATTCCTCCGGTCTCTGTTTTTGCGAGAGACTCGTTTCCCCCCATGGACCTCGACAAGCGGTTCAGCTCTGGTAGCGGTTCCGTGCGTGTTACCTGCGAGCGGTGCTCAGGTGGACGGAACGTGAGCAGAGCTGGTCACAGACGTAAGCGAGTCTACAACTCCTGGATAAGCCTGCGCGCTGTCCATATTAAATCCAAAATCATCCAGGAAATGCTGAGCTCTGAACCTCGTCATGTATAGTAGGACACATTAGGATCATTGTGCCACCTGTCAACACCAACTCACATTTCGAAGTTGCCTGTGGGGGCTGTTAGTACTAAGTTAACCGCTAGGGGGAAATAGCTCAGGTTGGGAAAAATGCTACATCTAAGGATGGAGCAGCAGTGAGCGGCATGGATATGACCAATGCCAGTTATTGGGAGTGCGTGAGAATGGGAAGTGCGCAGTAATAATAAGAGGTGATTGATTACGTCTTGCGGTCGGTCATGTTTGACATAAGATCAGGTGGTGCGGTGGTTAGCTGTGCGGTAGCCGCTCAGTCGAGGGGCTTTTGCAGGACGCGAATATTGTATACACTGGCATGGAAAAATGAAATATATTCAATCCTCCACTGTCAGACTCCGTGGAATTGGTGGTACTACAATGGGAAGTGTGACTGGTTCAGATCGGTTTCGGAATGAGTAAAATGTCACAGGCATCAACTTCCTCATAGCCCATTATGCAGAAGCTTCATGCGGTTAAGCGAGAGGCATATTAGTTTTGCTTGTAAAACCGTAAGAGCTCATGCACGGACATAAGCGGTTGTGATTTAACGGTGTGGCAAAGCAAGCAAGCACTGGCAAGCACAAGGTTCAGAGACAGCCTGAACATAGAAATAACTTTAGCAGGAACATTTATAACTGCGTTGAAGTTTGCTGGGTCCGTTATAACTATTTCGATAGTTTAGCTTTGCTTGTGGTTTCTAGGTTTTGAAGGCCAGCTGCAGCACTGTCGTTTCCTCCTCTGCCACCTGGTTTCCGCACCATCGACTTGCCACATTTCCAGGCAATTATTGCACACACTGGCTGCCTTCAGGCACCTGTAAATCCGGTACCCGCTTACCCACAGATCGACCCCAAAACCTGTGGTGATACGGAGCAAAAAGGTAAGGCACCGAGATGGCGAATGCAGCTGTCCTTAAGAGCCGGCGAATGTGTCCACAACAGCCGGTCTTGCTGAAACGGAGCATCCGGGCGCGGAAAAACCAGAATGGGTCGCTCTGCGCGTAAACTCCGATGGAGTCTCCCTCCGATCCGGTAGTCTCTCTCGCCTGGAAGGACCTCCCGTCGCTGCTAGACGGAACAAGCGGCCTCTGTTATAATCTGTCACCGGAAAGAGCACCACTGGCTTCTATGCAATCATGGTAAGAAATCCCCAGCAAACGGTGTCCTTTGTGGATGCCATTTGTCGGGAGCACTCTAGGCATTTGCGAGAGCCATTCATTCGTCAATGGCATTCCGGCATCACGACGACCTGAAGGGCGACGTCCGCGCAAATTATCGCATGCACGCATGCGATGATGACAGGCCTGGCTTGCAGTAACTCTTATGCAGGCTTCTGCTAGACACGTTCCACCTTGGTATTTTTTTACAAATGCACGCACATGCGAGCGAGCGACGTGGAAAGAGCGGTTGCTGGTTGTTGGTGGCCCTTGGCGTGACGGTTGTCGAGCGACTCCGGCTCCTTCTACTGGTGGCCACGCGATGGTCGTGTTCTAACGCGCCTAGCCAGCTATCTTATTACCCAGCCAGTAACAGAAATGCGGGCCAATTGACAAGGGCCGCGCCAGGATAAGCCGCCTGGCGGCGGTTAAATATATAACAATTATATTGCCTTGTTGTTTAGTCGGGTTCTCGAATTCTAATGGAGTGTTATCGGCTGGTTGGTTGCATTGATGCATCCATCTGACAACGTCCGTCATTAGAAAAAAGCGTTAGAGCGACGCGACTTGCTGCTGCTGGATGGCGCTAAATAGGGCAGTCAATTCCATGCTGCATCCTTCGTGTTGCTGCTGTGCTGTCCCGGCATGCATGTTCTGGCTAGCTACGACCAAATACCCCATGTACACATGCACCAACGTATACACGTACACCCACCAGGATGGATCGTGTTACAAGTCACAACACGATAACAGCTATGTGACCTACGCTCTAACCACTGCGCCACACCCACAAGTATCGCACAAGTAACGTGACAAGTGCATACAAATTGTACAAATCGTACAGGACCTGGGTACACACGCACCCCCGACGATTGGGCCAAATACGTATACAACGCATCTACTGCCAACGCATTAGCTCTATTTTTTTCCCGGGCACGTGGCCAGGAAGTGTATATCTGTGGGCGAGCAGTGGACGAGCAGTTGTATGCGCGAAGATAGGTATAGTTACTGAGGGTTCGGTGCTTCGCTTCCAAAGCGCCGCATCGACTAGACTTGTGTCGCAACACTTTTCCCGTATGTTCCAAGGCTTCGGTGCGTGGCTGATGGACGGTCATGCTTTGTTGTGATGTCTTTTGCCTCGGATGAATGCGGGAACGCATGCACTCGCTTGCTAGTTTCCAAACCAGCCTAACCTGGCATGGTATCGTCTGTCATGTGGTATTGCCAGGACAGGTCTTTTACTATTCGCCGCACATGTTCGGGTAATAAATGCCGATACGAGACGGCGGTGGAGAAGCGCGTTTTTGGCGCGGTGTATCTGATTGTATGTCAACTCAATGCTGCGGAATGCATATAGGGTGGCCGGTAGCAGTGTATGTTGCGGCTGTAGGGGAATTCTGTTTTTTGGGTCCCTGTCCATGTTGCTTGCTTAAAATCCAGATTACCACTACACGTTACTTTAAGTACTAAGAGCTTCACAGAGGAAAAGATATGCACATTTGTGTGCGGTGGGATCACACTGTGGACCTGCTGTTCACAAGCAGAATAAATGCACGCTTCTCGGCTGCGACTGCTAAAGGTATACACTATGTCGGGAACAGAGGCAGCTCGCAAGTACTTGCAAATGCTCGCCTTTTTCGCGTCGTGCTCGTCATATATTTGCAGATGCCTTCCCACGCCACTGTGTTGATGTTCCTCTGTTGATTATGATGAAGGCGCTCCATAAAGCTCATTCCCTTCTTGATTAGCCGGAGACTGCCTTAAACCAACTGCTTCGAATGGTCGGACATAGAAGCTGCCCTTCGCGAAGCTATCCATAGGAATTGTGGGAGCAATCTTGCAAAATATTACATCATAAATAACGGCTTGAAATGCCTTAGTTATGCCTAGGAAGAGATGTCAACAACACCTTCTGGGCTTGCGGCTGGCTGACGTTCCTTACGGTTGTTCGTTGCTGGCCTCAAGGCCTCCCTGCGAGGTGCCGATCTGCCAAGCCCGCTGCGACACATCCTTTCCTGGAGCAACTAATTAGCGCAAGATATTACATCTTTTACCCCTTATCTGTAAAAGGACCTTTGAGCAATTCATGGGGTCCGTGTACGAACGTGCACAAATCATTCGCGCTCCGGTTTAACTACTTCGTTTCATTCAAGATTTCCGTAAAAGGTCATGTGGAAATCTCTTTACCACGTTTAACGAATATAATTGACACGTGGTAGCCGTTCAGCAACCAAAGTCTTTTCCACCTACGGTTCTGTGAAAAGACAGTTGGGCAGGTAGAACCAACAGCGTGGTTCGACCAAATTGTGTGGCAGTTACCCTCTTAAACAGATTCTCCTCGCAGCTGCCAGTTTCAAGCTTGTGCAAAGTCGGCCATTTGTAGGGTGGCCCAGGAACCTCCCACACAAGCAACTGTGCGGAGCTTCAAGTTTATCAAAGCAGCAATTGAAAGGAGTCATTCAGTAATCTACAATAACCTACCTGAAGGTCGTTTAAACGCTTTGGACGCGGCAATGGCACAACAGGGCTTTGATGTGGCGGATGCGCAAGCTATTAGCTCTGGGGCCGCTGGAGTCATCGTGCATGTTAATCCAGATGAGACGGAGCTGCCTATTTTTCTTGCGTGGAAGGAACTCACGGTAACTGCGCGAAGGCAGAAGCGCCCTCTTCTCAACCAGGTCACAGGAAAGATTACTTCTGGGTTCTACGCAATTATGGTAAGTTAACGAATGAAACTGATTACATGCCTTTTGCGGTGACGCTGTTTGGATTGCAGAGTTTTAGCTCTTTAGTTGCTGTTCTTTTCTTCGCACGCATGCTCTGCTAGCCTTAATAAAAATACGAGTCTTTTTTGCTTTGTTAAAATTCATTTACTACAACTCTGGAAAGACTTGCGCGGTGTTGCAATTTTTTTGGGGAAGGCCGCTTTTCTACCCTGTGCATGACGTCAACATCTCGGACTAAGCCAATCAACCTAAAAACTCAAAGGCGAAGTCCATATGTTCTACCTCCTTCGTCTTAAGCCTGCCAGCTCGTGACGTCTCACACCACAGCCACTGTAGCCACTGCAGCCAGTTTTTAGCCTAAATTGCCCAAATGTCTTCTTTCCACAGATAAGAGAAGCAAGCAGCACAGAGGTTGGCTGGCTGAGGTGCTTAATTGCTCACTCTAGGTCCCTTGCCTCTATCAACCAACCTACCTACCTACTGATTCACCCTCCGTTACTGCGCACGTACGCACATAGGGCCCTTCTGGGAGCGGCAAGTCAACCCTCCTAAATGCGCTATCTTGCCGCCTTGACCGCGGAGTAAGCATGTCTGGTGAACTGAAGCTCAATGGTCAACCATACGGCAGCACGGAACTGAAGCTCATGTCCGGATACGTCATGCAGGTATGTGCGTATGCTCTAGTTGCATTTTTGTGCTCAACATTCCATCGAATGCTGGTGCCATTTCGCAAGGCAAGCCTGCTCAAGTCGGTCGGCTGACGGGTCCCGAACGCTCGGGGTTATGCCAAGTCCAGCTGACGCGATGCAGAGGTGACAGCAGCTTTTGCCATCCGCGGGATTGTCTTTTCAGCCTGTGATTGTCAGCCTGTGACTGCTAGCACCTGCAGCCCACCGTCCCGCGACGCAACTAAACGCCCACTTCACCCCGCTCTCCCCTCCTCCACTTACATGCTAACAGGACGACTTGCTGAACGCGCACTTGACGGTTGAGGAGACTCTTCGCTACACGGCTGAGCTGCGGATGCCTCGCACTACCACCCCCGAGGAGCGGATGGCGCGAGTGGAGGAGGTCATGCAACAGGTAGCCATAGCAGTGTCAATAGTGGGGAGGGGGGTGGGATTGGGGGCGTGGAGAGGAGCGTCTCAGGATGGGGGAGAAGGGCCTTTGACACGCGGGGGGTTGCGGCAGCTGAATGACCTTACGCATTCGCCGTCCTGCGCCCCTAGTTCCCCCTCACCCATACTGAATCTCATCAACCACCAGCTCACCTCCCCTCTCTCCCGCTACAGGTCGGCCTCTCCCACGTTCGCAGTGTGGTGGTGGGCAGCCCTCTGAAGAAGGGCATCAGCGGTGGGGAGCGCAAGCGGCTATGTGTGGCCATGGAGCTGTTAACCAAACCAAAACTGCTCTTCTTGGTAAGTATGTGCGATAATGAGGATAATCCACTAACAACACGGTACGTAGCTAGCTGCGCAAGACAAGCAGATACGGAGGTAGTGACAAATGGTAGACTTCCGGTTGGCAGGGGTGGTGGCGATTCAGGAATGGAGGGGGTTGCCCGAGCTGCCTAGCTTGCATATTCTGGGAGGCTGTACTGGGCAGGTAGAGGGCGGACGACCGGGAGGAGTAGCAGCTTATCACACGCAGCTCACATCGCCTCCCTGCCTCCCACCTCGCAAGCCCCTGCTCGTTACCCCCCAAAAGCTCAGGAAGACAGCATAAACTTGTGGTTGGCTGCCCCCACCATCGCCCACGCTATCCCCCTTCGTCCCACCCGGCCACGTCGTACAGGACGAGCCCACTAGCGGTTTGGACAGCGTCACTGCGCTGTCGCTGTGCAAGCTGCTGCGCCGCCTGGCGGCCAGCCGCACTTGCACCGTCGTGTGCACCATCCACCAGTGAGTGCGTTTGGCGGGGTTCATGGTTTGTACCTAGAGGGAGTTTCATGGGATGGCTATGATAGTCTTGCTGCTGATGATGATGATGATGACGACGGTAATGGTCACAGGGGCAGGTAGCGGAACGAATACGAACCCACATCCGCATCAAATCTCTCTTAACTGCAGCGTGAGTCTACCCACCTGCATGCACGGTAACAATGTACCGTACCCGCTGTGTGTGCACCCATTCAGGCCCCAAGCCAAGATTTTCAACCTGTTCGACCAGCTGCTGTTGCTCAATCGGGGGACTATTGTGTACCAGGGCCCGGCTCAGGGCGCACTGGACTTCTTCGACCGCTCGGGATTTCCCTGCCCGGCCTACGAGAACCCCGCAGACCACTTTTTGGGTGAGGGAGATGGGGAGGGAGGGAGGTTGGGAAGGAGGATGGGACGGAGAGGGGTTGCTGGAAACGAGGAAGCAAGTTTGGTGGGAGCTGTGGATGGCAGATAGATGACATGACAAAGATATAAACCGTACTTCCCCTTGCCGTGCATGTCAGAGCCGTTACCTCCCAAGCGAGCAACCCGCCTGTTCCTCCCAGGGATTCTCAGTTGGCTACCAGCTACGGTTTCATAGCTCTCGTCGTTACTAAGTGTAGTGTTGCGATGTGCTGGGGCGAGATCGGTGAGATCTGCAGTGGGATCGGTTAGACGCGCTGTACTAAACCGTTCAGCTAGATCTACTTGTTACAATCATTTTTTGACAACAAGTGCTCCTTTATCCATTTGATTTAATTATCTGTAATTATCTCCGTATAATCACTATCTGTATGTGCCACCACGCAGACGTCATCACCCCCAGCATGAACGACAGCGTGGAGAGCCTGGTGGAGAAGGAGGAGAAATTGAAGCGGCACTACACGCCACCGGCGGTTGACCACTTGTTGGGGAGCCCCAAGCCGCTCATCCTGCCTCGCGACACGACTCCCTGGTCGAAGCAGTTTCAGGTGCTGTTGCGGCGCAGCCTCAAGGAGACTTGGCGCAAGCGCAGCGCCACGTACGTGCTGCTTGCTCAGACGGTGGTGATGGCCGTCCTCATTGGCACGGTGTTTTTGCGTATCGGCACGAGCCAGACCTCCACCACCCGCCGCCAACCCGTGCTCTTTTTTACAGTCATTAACCAGGTGGGTGTGGCTGTACGTGTTTGTTACTCCTCCTTGTTGCGTTACCCTTGAAAGGCGTAACGAGGGATGGCCAAGGGCCAGACATTGGCTGACCGAAAGAGCATTCGTCAGGAAACGTGCGGATGTAAATAGGATGACAAGTACTATTATGTTGTCCAAAAAAGGGACGGTGTTTATGCCACGGAAGTATGTCGGCTATTGGAGACCTGGAGCCCGATAGTCCTGGCTCCCTACCCCTAGCCCCAAGTCCCCCCTCATCTATGCCCACATTTCCCAACATATGCTTGCAGGGTATGTTCGGCGCTTTGATCGTCATCAACTCCTTTCCTTCCGAGCGCCTGCTATCCCTCCGAGAACGCGCCGCCGGCACCTACCACGTCAGCGCGTACTTCTTAGCGAAAATCACAGCAGAAACGATTTCACAGCTGCCGGCTCCGATCCTCTTCTCCTGCATCGTCTACTTCCTGGTCGGCTTCCAGCTGGTGGCATCCAAGTTTTTCATCTTCATGGCGTTTATGGTGCTTTGCTCGCTGTCTGCTACCAGCCTTGCTCTGGCCGTGTCGGCAATTGCAAGGACAACGGACATGGCGGTCACAGTGCTGCCCATGGTGAGAGGGGGAGGTGAAAGGGCTAGGGAGCTTTGGCGGAATGCATCTCCCTGGTTACCGACACTGGAAGGATAGTAGCTTGTTATCAGTCATTTTCAGCCGAAATGGAGATTTCCCGCGACAGAGAGGAGCAGCAACGCCGGGCCCATCGCCTTGGCGCAGTGGCTCACACGCATGCAACATACACAGTGCCGTGCCTCCCCAAAGCCCGCGCTTTTTATAGGGACTTCTAATGGCGCAAAATGATATAATGCATTGTCAGGGGTTTGACGACCAGGGGGTTGAGCAACCCAGCCACCTGAGATGTAGTTCAAACCTGCGAGCCAAACCTGCAAAATTTCTTAATTGATATCATCGTCCGCAAATCATCACCACCTATTTCTCCGCCTCTAGGCTCTGGAAGTGTGCCGCCTTTTCGGCGGCTTCTTCCTATCACCCGCCAACATCCCGCTGTACTTCAAGTGGCTCAACGCGCTTTCGTACGTGCAGTACACGTAAGTACAAATCCACCTAATTCCAGAAGTCCGCCAGCGCCGCAACTTGTGGTTCATGCCTTCATGTTTGGTGCCTGTTGGCTCATTACTACGACGCATGGCAACGTAGCAATTTACGGCACAAACCACATATGTTTGCACAGCATGCTGCCCAAGGCGCAGTAAGAAGACTCCGCCACCACCAGTCCGCCTGTAACGGGCGGCGCTTGCCTTTCCCTTCCTTGGGCTTGCCTCTGCAGGTATGTGGGCATTTCCCTGAACGAGCTTCACGGGCTGAAGCTGTACTGCGCCCCCAACCAGATCAACAGCTCGGGCAAGTGCCCCGTCACATCCGGAGAGCAAACCATCAAAGCGCTCGGCTTGGACTACATCTCCATTGGCGGCTGTGCAGGGGTGCTCATCGGCTACATCATTTTCTGCCGGGTTGTGGCGTACCTGGGAGTGCGCTTCATCAAGTACTAGTTATCAACAAGAGGCTGCTTGTGTATTTTGCTACCAATTTTGGGTGTACCAATATCGTACCGTGTATGCGAAATACTGCTTAGCAAGTGTTGCCGCGATACTACGAAGATTATACCTGCTATACACGCACAAGTGGCTGGCGCTGTTACATGGCCGGTGCAGATGTGGTGGGCCACATGTGGCTGCAAGAGCGTGCTTTTACTTGGGTACAGCCGTATTAATTCTTATTATCATTATTATTATTTCTGCACATTAATTGTGCAGTGGAAACTGATGAATGTTAACTATCTAATTGTAACACAAAACGTGCACCGTTATAACCTGATGCAGGACTGTTCCGTACGCATGTATGTGCTGTGTTTATACCTCATCTATGATATGTACCACCTCTGCTGGGGCGCGTGCATGCGTGTGTGCGTGCACAGAGAGAACTATCCATCAACCGGGGAGCTCATCCCTGGACTGGATTTGCTGTAATCCTACGTGGAATGTCTCCTCAGCCGCCTACACTTCAATTTTTACAATCTGTACGGTCCTAGTTTTACAGAATTCAGTCCGGGATTGATGCTTTGGAATTCGGAGTTTTACGGCCTTAGTGAACCTTCCGCTCACAGCTCCATGCATTTATCGAAACGCTTGGCAGCAACACGCAACTCCTGTTATACTGAAAGGAGAGTGGTAGCCCAGTCACAACCACAATAATGTGCATAAATCTCTTACTATTTTGATCACGTGACGAGGAGTCGCCATTAGCGCATTCCCAGCCCCGTATCCCCAGCCCAAGGGGCTATGATAAATGCGGTTCGGACGGCTGCTGTTGTTGACCCAGCCAGAAACATTATGGGAAGCGTGCCCACGGCTTTACCCGTCCAGCATTGATGGTTTTGTCTTGGCGCCTGGCACGTCGGCAGGCGGTCCGCCAGTGGATGTGCCAGGTGCTGCGGGACAGGAGTGGGGGGAAGCCGCGGGCAAATTTCCTTCAACAAGTTTGGGCTCAGAAGCAGCAGCAGCAGCAGTTCCAGCCGTGTGCACGAACTTGAGCCCCAGTGGGCGGGAGTGTGCCATTAGCGCCTCCGCGAAAGTCTGTAACTTCATCCCGCTGTACCAGAAAAGGAGTCGCGAGCTGCATATGGCACAGGCCAGCATGAGTCAGGATACGTACGTACATATGTATGTATACATCTATGTATTTACCCTGGATACACCAGCATGCATCAGTTTACAGGTCGTGCCCATCCTGTCTGCAGCCACACTATGGGCCAGTACCCACCCCATCATCCACGACTAATCATGATGATGATGATGCTCGTGGTGGTGATGGTGTTAATTGCGGCGATGGATACTGATAAGTCTGTCTAGATAAGTCTGTCTAGATAAGTCTGTCTAGGTAAGCAGACGAACTCCCAGAGACCGCCTGCTTCGGCAATAGTCGGTATGCAAGACTGGGATATGAATCCAATCTTGCAGCTAACGACAAAGCCACTGAGCATGCGTAGTGGTATCCTAAGCCGATCACCATGTGCAGATGTGTACAGGCAAGTTCACACCAAGATGCGGCCGATATTTCCTATATGAAGCGCAACTTGCAGGTCTGACGGCGTGATAGAATCTGCCGAGATGGCCGCTGCTTCTCACATACTAGAATAATCGCTGGGACGGACTACCCTGGGTAGCAGGATGGACACCGTTACCCTCATACTGGAATCTGTCGCGGACACAGTGCACCAGCAGCCCAGCAATTATTTTAAATTCCTCCAAGTTAATTAGCTAGTCCACCAACTCGCTAACTTAACCGTGCGGCATCCCACCTACACGCGCCTCCAACACGGCCTGACGGCAGCAGATCACGTACCACGTACACTTAAAACTAGCTTCTCCTAACGTGGCGCCCTGCCACCTGCTATCCACAGACTGCATACGTGCATCCAGGATGGAGCAAATACACTGCATACATCGACTTAGAGTGGGCTTGTCACCACACCACACCTACATGCAGCCCCTAAGTTCCAGGCCTCCCCAGCGTCCAGCCAGCGCAGCCGCCAACCCCAGAAAAGTGGTACTGTGTGTCGTCGTATGTACGGATTAGCCTCGCAGCCCCGTCCATGTGTCGAGCAACAATTCCGGCTTGTGACTAAGGTCGTGCATGCCGTCCGTAACGGTGGTTGTCACATTGTCAGACATCCCATCATGTATATGTTACATAATCCGAAAGTGGCGCCCCTCTCTGGCCTGATGTTTAGCGAACACCCCGTTCAATTGCGCCGTCCCCTGCTACCAGCCGTCGCCTCCGCTCGGCTCCGCTGGTTCGCAAGCTTAGGCTGTAAGCGCTGCCGGAGACTACGGATAAAGTCCCGTCGCTGTAGATTGAGTGGAGTCGCTGTGCTGCTCTTTACTGATGCAACGACAGCCGCAGGGCGTTCCTTGAGCAATCGAACGGCAAGGCGGGTTAAAGCAAAGAAGTCCTTGTAGACTTGAGCCGACATTCCAACAGCAAATTTGCTGTGAGCAGAACTTCACTACTTGTAACTTGTTATAAACGTACCTCCTACCTAAACAAAATGTTAGGTGGACAAGAAATGCACACAATGTGTTGAGTTGTCATACTTCGAGTAAAAGGAAAGCACTTAAGCTGTCGTACTATAGGGTAACGCACAAAAACTTGGGAATAAGGCATTTAATAACCAAAGCTTTCCGGTAGCTCGTTGGAGGAAAAGTTCACTATAACGGTACAGCGGAATGAGAGCGGCGTCTGGTCGAACGGCGAGTGAAGGGAAACAAAGCGCGCCCAGCCAGCGCCCGAGCCACAGTAGCCATCATTTGAGCCGACGCATTGCATCATGCATCTCATCGACGCAACAAAGGCTTTTCACCCAGCACTACTTGCCGCGGTCTCCAGCTCCATTCCAACAACTGCACCAGCGAAACCCTACGTTTGTGGCTCTGGCGTCGGCGGAACCTTCCAAGAGCACAACACAGCAACCCATCGCGACTAATTACGGCTTTGGCTTCTCAGCTGGCGGCCTTCTTTTTCCGTACTTCTTGGGCGTGGCCGTACAGCTTCAGGTACGGTGAAGATATCCCTCACGTCTAAAGGCGAGCTGACATCTCAAGAGCTGGGATCATGGCGCATAGCTAATAACGGTCCCTAATGAAGCATCAGGCAGGAAGGGGCATGCCGCAGGAAGGGGTTCACACCGTGTGGAACAAACCTGCCGCGTAGCAGCGGCTAACAACCTAGGGTGCAGGCTGTCTATTGGTTAGGACGGACGAATGGCTCTGGCCAGCGGTCACACGCTGTACTCTCTCTCTGTCTCTCTCTCTTTTATGACTTGTTGATGATGATGCCGCCGCAGCAGTTGTAATTACGTGCAGTCAGGGTCGGTCTGCAAGCTTCCCTCAGTCTACCTACCTACCTATCTACCTATTTGTCTTGATGTACGGCGCTTCCCTCTGCCTTCCCCTCACTCAGCCGCCGCTCCATTCAGGCCCAGGCTCAGGCTCAGGATACAGACCCGGTCGAATATGATGTCGATAACACACACACACACACACACACACACACAAGTACACACACAGACAGACAGACACAAAATCCTACGCGCTTTCCGCCCTTGCACTGGCCCTCTATCTGCCCATATGCACATGTGCGGCTTCCTCAGTCCGCCCATGACTCCCGTGCTGTGTTATGGTGGAATGCACACGCGTGTGTGTCTGTCTGTCTGTCTGTCTGTATCTGTACACCTGTGCCACGCAGGCCATGAACGTCCTCCGCCCGGAGACCCCGGTGGCCGGGGCCAGTGCGGGGAGCATCGTGGCGGTGTGCACGAAGAGCGGCCTCAGCGAGCAACAGCTCTTGGACGCCTTCCTAGACCTCGCCCGGGTACGGCATTTACCTGAGCTGTCATGTACGGGATATACTCGAGGCATTACGTACGGCATATATCCAAGTGTATACTGGAGATGTTTGCCAACCCACAGCCAGCCTGCATCTAAGCTCGGCTTAACAAGCTCCACAGAAATAAATTTTTGCAACGAACTTCCCAGGATTGCCGGCAAGGAGGTACCCGTACCCGTCTCAAGTCCGTACTGCAACGTGTACTTCAAGAGGCCCTGCCGGACGATATTCATGAGCGCTGTGAAGGCCGCGCCTTCCTGGCGGTCACGCGCCTCTGGCCCCAGTTCGAACCCTGCACGGTGCGGTATGATGTCGTGACTGTGCCGTTTATGTACGGGAGCGAGTTCATGTCATGTACAGGCCAGGCAGTGTTTTTTTTTGGTAATATATTACTTTTTGGGGGAATAAATGGGGGTCTGTGCCTGGAAGAAATGGAATAATTGGTCAGTTGGCCGTACTGGTTCATTACTTCGGCCATAAGTCGCCCCAAATGCCTTCTGCACATATAAAGCTGAACATTTGGAGCTTATACACTATTTATATATAAAATATTTGATGATATCACCATGAGACGGCCCGCTGTTGCATTCAACTTAGGTCAACGGGGCATTCGTTCATTCTTGACCAAAGCAAACGGCTCAGAAACTCCGCAGACACTGCTCACAGAGACACTGGCGCAAATGCAGTTAGGTGCACAGAACGATGGTGGTACGGCATGTTTGTTTCCAGACGTCAGGTGTTGTTTACAGCACACCGTACAGCCTTTGAGGGGGGGGTCTGTGGGGGGCGCAGACCCCCCAGCGACTATACAAAAAGGAATTGTAATCGCAAGAAACACCCAGTTTATTACTCTAGGGTATTAGGCCCAAAACGAAAAAAAAACACTGAGGCCAGGTCCATTGGGAATAAGATTCCCCCTGGGAGTGCGAATGCGAATGCGAGTGCGAGTGGCGCCGCGAATGGGAGTGGGACGAAGGCTGCGACAATGGAAGGCGGTCAGAAGGCGGTTCGTGAGAGGCGCAGCGGGGCGGAGCTGGGGAGCGGCACGATGCCGCGGTTGTACGACATGTTGAGGCCTGGCGCTGTCGTTGCCGATTGCCGCAGATCCTCCCCGTTCTCCTGTATGTATATATGTATGTATCCACTCGACCTGCTCCCAGCGCTAATGCAAGTCCGTGACCTTGCTGTCCCCGGCCCGTGCGGGTTATTCAATACTTGATGCCTGATATGGACGTGGGTCACCAACCACCAACTGATACCCTGGGTCAGCCAACCAATATTAAGATCCATGTGAACCGACCGTGACATAGAAGACCAAGTCACCTGACCCATGGGTCACTTTCCGGTAAGCCGTGGCTATCGTTACCATCCTGCAGGTGAGCTCTTTTTCCAGTCGGCAGGATGTAATCGACACGATGTTGGTGTCCAGCCACATCCCCTACTGGTTCGACGGTGAGTTCGACCGTTGATGGTTGGCGGTTGCAAGTTGAGTACTGTGTAACATTGATTAGTACGCGGAAGAGTGGTATGTCAGGTCGCCTAAACTGCAGGTCCCCTGTGTAGCTTATGATTGGCAACTGGCAACCGGCGTT